ACGGGTCAGGACTGCAGACCGGCCATGCTAGCACCCCGCACTCTCTGCTTACGCAACCATGCGCTTGTAATCTGGGCCGAATGTGGTTTGGTGTTGTCCTGCTCTGGATGGAAGCATATGTTTCTCCAAAATGTGTATGTATATTTCTGCATTAATGGTGTCCTCACAGATGTGCAAGTTACTCATGCCATGTGCACTGACACACCCCCATACCATGACAGACACTGGCCTTTGGACCTGATGCTGATAACAGCTTGGATGGTCCTTTTCCTCTTTGGCCCGGAGAACATGACGGCTGTTTTGTCCAAAAACTATTTGAAATGTTGAATTGTTGCACCTCAGGACACAATTCTACTGTGCTACTGTCCATCTCAGATGAGACCGAGCCCAGAGAAGTCCATCCTGGCTCTTTAAGGAATAGGCCTTTTTTAGAGACTCCTTATATATTGTGATTAAATGATTGCTTCACCTGTTTCACATAACCTTCTTATTTCAACTTGTTGCATTGCTATTAGTCCTAAATTGCCGCATCCCAACTTTTTTGGAAAGTGGCACTTTCCAAAAAAGCATGCATCAATTTCAAAATAAATGTTTAACTTCATTAGTTGCACACCTGGGGCAACTAATGAAGCACTTGATTAGTTATATCAGGTGTGTTTGCATATTTATGCTGTTGTGCGGGATTCTATTCTCCAATTTTAAGACTGGAGAAATCATTATAAGTTGTATTTTCAGTTGAATTTTGGGAAACCACTTGAAGCATTCATTATGTTGAACTATTTCAATTTGCTTTTGTTTGATTTGTTCATTGTGAACAGCTGAAAGTCTTGACAAGAAACAGGTTTCTTAAATTTTGACAATAAACCTGATTTGCAATCGGGGTTGAATAATTTCGATTGCAACTGTACAGTGAGGGGAAAAAACATTTGATCCCCTGCTGATTTTGTACGTTTACCCACTGACAAAGAAATGATCAGTCTATAATTTTAATGGTAGATTTATTTGAACAGTGGGAGACAGAATAACAAAAAAATCCAGAGAAACACATATCAAAAATGTTATAAATTGATTTGTATTTTAATGAGGGAAATAAGTATTTGACCGCTCTGCAAAACATGACTTAGTACTTGGTGGCAAAACCCTTGTTGGCAATCACAGAGGTCAGACGTTTCTTGTAGTTGGCCACCAGTTTTGCACACATCTCAGGAGGGATTTTGTCCCACTCCTCTTTGCAGATCTTCTCCAAGTCATTAAGGTTTCGAGGCTGACGTTTGGCAACTCGAATCTTCAGCTCCCTCCACAGATTTTCTATGGGATTAAGGTCTGGAGACTGGCTAGGCCACTCCAGGACCTTAATGTGCTTCTTCTTGAGCCACTCCTTTGTTGCCTTGGCCGTGTGTTTTGGGTCATTGTCATGCTGGAATACCCATCCACGACCCATTTTCAATGCCCTGGCTGAGGGAAGGAGGTTCTCACCCAAGATTTGACGGTACATGGCCCCGTCCATCGTCCCTTTGATGTGGTGAAATTGTCCTGTCCCCTTAGCAGAAAAACACCCCCAAAGCATAATGTTTCCATCTCCATGTTTGACGGTGGGGTTGGTGTTCTTGGGGTCATAGGCAGCATTCCTCCTCCTCCAAACACGGCGAGTTGAGTTGATGCCAAAGAGCTCCATTTTGGTCTCATCTGACCACAACACTTTCACCCAGTTGTCCTCTGAATCATTCAGATGTTCATTGGCAAACTTCAGACAGGCATGTACATGTGCTTTCTTGAGCAGGGGCACCTTGCGGGCGCTGCAGGATTTCAGTTCTTCACGGCGTAGTGTGTTACCAATTGTTTTCTTGGTGACTATGGTCCCAGCTGCCTTGAGATCATTGACAAGATCCTCCCGTGTAGTTCTGGGCTGATTCCTCACTATTCTCATGATCATTGCAACTCCACGAGGTGCGATCTTGCATGGAGCCCCAGGCAGAGGGAGATTGACGGTTCTTTTGTGTTTCTTCCATCTGCGAATAATCGCACCAACTGTTGTCACCTTCTCACCAAGCTGCTTGGCAATGGTCTTGTAGCCCATTCCAGACTTGTGTAGGTCTACAATCTTGTCCCTGACATCCTTGGAGAGCTCTTTGGTCTTGGAATCTGATTGATTGCTTCTGTGGACAGGTGTCTTTTATACAGGTAACAAGCTGAGATTAGGAGCACTCCCTTTAAGAGTGTTTAAGAGCCCTTTAAGTTCTGTCTTTCACTGTTCAAATAAACCTACCATTAAAATTATAGACTGATCATTTCTTTGTCAGTGGGCAAACGTACAAAATCAGCAGGGGATCAAATACTTCTTTCCCTCACTGTACTGAAGGGCGAAGAACCACCAAAATGCCAATAACACTTCCTTGACCATAAAAAATTTAATGTCATGAGACAATGCCTTTTATCAGGAATAATTTTGAAAGATTTTTTGTAAGATGTACCCAGGAAAACCTTTTATAATTTTTGAAGAACATTTTATAAAGTTATGTTCTACAGAAAAGTTTGACTTGTTAAACAGAGTTGTTTTTTTTTTTTTTGGAATGATAAATATCTATATTTGCCATGAAATAGCCATTGAAGTGGGTAGTTCAATAAACCCAAATACAAGCACAAGCAAACAGGGCACAGCTGGGTAACATGAAAAACCGAATGAATGTCTTCAGTGTATAGCAAAAACAAAATAATGGGCCTGAACACTGAATATTTATGTTGGTTAAGGCTTGCTTCATTTTCATGTGATTCATTTACCTTTTCTCCCCTCCCTTTCCCAAATATTTCTATAAGAAGAGAAGAAGAAGAAGGAAAAAAAATAAAAATGAAAAGTCAAAATATATTATATTACCAAAAAAAAGTGCTAATTAATTACAATTTTAATCGAAATCAGCAGAAGACTCAAACTTCGCGTCTTACTCTATCGAACACCGAATTCTAACCCCTTGTGTCTGTTTAAGTGGTGGTGATACAATAATATATCTGAGAATATTTTCCTGTTTTCTTTTCCTCCTGTCTGATTTTAGGATGGAGACCGAACCCATTGGTCAGGATTCGTAACCTGCAGATGTCTGTATCTCTCTCTCTTTGTCTGTCTGTCTGACTGTCATTTAGAGTCAAGGTGCCTGAGCTAACAAGTTGAGTCGAGGACCAGGACTACTTTTCCTGTTTCCCCGCACCCCCACCTGCAACCATGAATGGTAATACTATGGCTTGGGTCTGTATGTATGTGTATACAAAAGTTATAAATGAGCTGCATTCTAAAGATTTCACAAGGACATACTTTTTTTGTGTCACCCTGCCAGATTTATTAGTAAACCACTGCAGCATACTGCTATAACTCCAAACAGTGAACTGCTCTCACACAGTCAGCAGTAAATAGCCTCAGGATTTAAGTACTGATAATGTTGACTTGTCAAATGCAGCATTATTAACAGGTGGTAGCTTTAAAAGGTTGCTGTGTTACAATTTCTTTGGAAAAGGCTTTTTAAAAGTTAAAAAGACTTTAAACTCAAAAAAAAAAAAATATTGAAGTACTAATAAATTGCTTCCATTTTTTGTCAACGCTAAATGCTTACTGACATCAGCATCCCACTGGTACTGAATACCAGTGCCAATTACAAAATATAGCTGCAAGCAGCAATTAAGGGAATAAGAACTATTTATTCCCACCCTTTAGCGATGGAAAAAGACTAGAAGCCTCTGGGACCATTAACACTTGCTCTGAAGGAAATGTACTAAAGGTACAAGCTGGTCCTGAAAAGTTATGGAGTTTTCACTAATTCTAGTGACCCCCTAGAGGGGATTTAGATTAAACGTCTTGGAGTCGCTTAGTTCATGGTTGTTTACTCGTGAAAGATTTTGACCAAAATTTGCAGATCATTACTGAGATATGCCATAACCTCCTGTTTGGTGACTTCACAATTCTTTGCGCATTATGGGGGGGGGCTTTCTGTTTGAGAAAACATAAATTCCTTAGATCACCAGCACTCCGTTCCTTCAGGGGAATCAGTAGAAACAAGACTTGTTGACTTGAGATTTGTTGTAGGGTTATTCAAAAGTTATAAGTAGTTTTTCAAATTTCCCACCTAGAGGTGAGTTTAGGCAAAATTGGAGTGTTGGAGACCCTTGGGATGAGGTACTTCTAAAATGTTTGGTCAAAATATGTCAAACAGTTGCTAAGCTATGCCCTCACTTCCTATTTTGCAGCTTCGCTATTAAATTCGTTTATAGATGAACTGTCCTGTACATCAAAAAAATCTGAGAATTTTTATTTTTATCAGACTAGTCTCACAATTCCACATGCCAAATTTGTTGATATTGGACAGAATTTCTAGGAGAAAAAGTAAAAACACTGTTGAAAAAAATCAAAATGGCTGACTTTCTAAAAGTTGCAAGCAATTTTACGAATTACAGCACTACATTGAGGTTAATTTAAACAAAGCTTTGTGGAGAACCTTAGGGTGAGGTCTTTCAGTTATCTGCAAAATTTCCATCACTCCGTTGCTGAGATCTGCCTTCACTTCCTATATGCTTCGCCATCAAATTTGTTTGCATTATGGACAAACCATCTCACTCATATATATATATATAAAAACAAATTTTTTGTGGGTTGGTAGTCTGTTGATGGTGTTATTCAAATTTCATTAAAAAAAAAAAAAAAAGCATGCAAAGCATTCTGTGATAGTCCATAAACTCCCATTGAAGGTGTAATCATCCATCCATCCATTTTCTGTACCGCATATCCTGCACAGATTCACAGGAAGCCTGGAGACTAACCCAGGGGACTTTTAACACAAGATAGTGGATACCCTGGAATCGCAGGGCACAATCGCGCGCACACACTTGCATTCACACACTACGGACTATTTAGAAATGCCAATCAGCCTACAATGCACGTCTTTGGACTGGGGAGGAATCGAGAGTACCCGGAGAAAACCCCCAAAGCACGGGGAGAACATGCAAACTCCACATGTACAGGGCAGAGGCAGGAATCGAACCCCCAACCCTGGATGTGTGACAGAAATTTGCTAACCACTAAGCCACCGTGCCCCCCAAGTATAATTATAACAATAAACAGCATACAATCAGTAAAGGCTACCTACTCACCTTTGGTGCTTGGCCCCCTAAAGCATCCCTTAACTGATGGATGCATGTGATTTATGTACTTTTAGTGATTATGTACTGATAGTGCCTTTTGCATTCTTGCTGATGAACAATATTAACATATTAATGATTTCACAGAGTCATCCACAGAGAAGATTTGTTTGCATTAATTGTGCAACACTGGATTTGTACGCATTTTTATTGAACAAAATTTCTTCTCGCTTTCTTTTCTAACTTGTATTTTCTCCCTTGCATTCATTATACTCAGGTGGCCGCAGTATATGGGCTATAAGTCCAGAGGAAAGGGATAAACATGATCAGAAATTTGACACCCTCTCCCCAGTGCAGGGTTTTGTGACTGGTATGTAGTATTGTATTCTTCATTTGTTTAAAGGTTTTTTGCAATAAATGTCTAGCTTTCTTTGGGTCTCCAGGATAAAAAGCTATGTATGCCTACATGTATCTAGTAGAATGGTTAAAAGTTCTCAGGATGTGTTCCATGCTGTTGATGAATGCTTGAATTCTTGAAGTATCCCTTTTTGTTTCTAATGACTTTTTGTACATAGGGGACAAGGCACGAGGTTTCTTCCTGCAGTCAGGCCTCCCTTCCTCTGTGTTGGCTGAGATCTGGTGAGCACTCTATGCTAAGCAAAATTCCTTGAAAAAAAAAGAGTGATATTTAGGAAAATACCTGATTATATTCAGTCAGTTTGAAAACCAGTGATTACATATAAAAAATTTTGTAAAAATGGCTAGAAAAAAGGAACGATCAACTTAAGATCCTTTGTTGTTTCATCCCTTGGCCATTGGTGGTTAGAATCATCTTGATACCTCCTTATGCATGTGTGCACACTAGGGATGTCACGAGAACCGATATTTTGGTACCAACATTCTTAAAAGGTGACAGTACTTGTTTTTCAGCAGTAGCGTAGGTACTGTTTATAATAAAGGTACTGAGGTTGCAATTCTACCAGAACTGAAGGGGGCAGCATAAACGCGTAAGTGTTTGTCAGTCCACAAGTGGTAAAGAACAACAACACCTACAAGCACACAAGGGGAGAAACTATAGAAGATGGCGACAAGCTGAGCTCTGCCCCGACTTGTTGAGAGGAAAGGTGGTAAAGAGTCAAATATGGAAATACTTCGCATTCCAGGAGGATGACAACAAACATGCAATTGATGCTCTGAAGCCAGTGTGCAACTGATGCTATCGTGCATTTCAAACAAAGCGAGGACACACCTGGAATTTGACGAAGCATCTGAAAGACGGTCCTATATTATGTTTGTTTGAGGCAGCTGGCATTGTGGCTGTGAAACCAGCTAACGTTATGCTCTATGTAATGTTTGCGATAGCGAATTTGTTAACGATGCTATTGAATTGCAATGTTATCAACTACCTCCTAATGGGCCACCATGCATTGCCATTCAGCCTGTGTCCTGTCATCAACATGTAACCTAATGTCACTAATAATTATTGAAATGTTCAATAAATCTTTTTGGCCTGCCACCATATCAGTGAATTTAAACATTCAGAGTATAAGAGGGGTGTGTGTGTGTGTGTGTGTGTGTGTGTGTGTGTGAGAGAGAGCACGTGTGCGTTTAAAAGTGTACCTTGCCTGTAGCTTCCACTGTTTTATTAGTCATTGTCAGACAGTGTTTGATAACTAAAATACCCCCCTTCCATTTTTGCCAGTATTAGCTAGAGAAGATGTCCACCAGGAGACATTTTTTTTTTAATTAAAAAAAAAAAATTGTAAGAAAATTTGTTTTATAGCACACCATGGTATAGACTTTGGTTTCGAGTATCATGTACTTTTGGTGGTATAAGTACCGACTACTAGATTGTTGGTATCATGACATCCCTAGAGCACACATGCCAACACCTTCCAACTGAGTGGTGAAGTGATGATGCAGAATTTGCAATAAATACCATCAGCCATCTTTCCTGTTTCTTCTTTTTACCTCGTACACATGTTGGACCACATATACCCAGTATCGAGCTAAACACTTAGTATTTTGTGACTATAGAAGGAGGCACAGATATAATGTCCTGCAAAGCTGGTATAGGCTCTTTCCAACCTCTTCTGATGTGTTTGTGTATTACATGTATTTTTGCATAGAATGCTAAACAATGCTATGCTAAGAATGCTTTCTCTTACCGACATTGTCTTCTCCGAATAACACATTCCCTTCCATCTGACCGACTACCAGGCCTGTAGCCAATAGTGAGTTTCCACCAGATGCCCTGAATGCAGATGCACTAGTGAGAACTTCCCATATTGCATTGCATGTAGTATGTACTTGCAATGCTTTAACAAGTTCACTGCTAGTGTTTGTGTAGTCCCTCCAATCTACAGAAGCCAATCCCTCTGGAAAGGAGTTGTTTGACTTTTATGCAAAACTTCAAGTGTGTGCAAACCAACCCTGCAGAATCGGCCTTTTTGCCTTTTTGAATCGGAATTTTGTGGATTCTAGTTCGAATTGCTACAAATATTAATACTATATTTTACAGTGCTTTTAAAAAGCACTGGGATTATATTTAAGATGATAGCCTAATGTAGCGGAGAGAAGGCATGTGGGGGTCCTTGTTTAAAACATACTGGTCCACTTCAAAGAAACTGGTCTTAGTTACAAATTAAACCTAAAAAAGAGAAACGCACGTTTTCAAACTGAAAAATACATGATGAAAAATTGGAGTGCTCTGTTTAGTTCAAGTGTTTACTGTACTCTGTACATATACACTAGCACTGTCAGTTACTTTACAAGTTGGATATTTTAATTGCTTTAGAGGTTTGGTATTTGATTGAATTTTAATATTAATCAGGCAATAATTTGATACAGTCACAGATATAACATTATTGCAATCACAAAATTAAATTAAGATAAATTAGAACTTTCTCCACCCTCAATGTGACATTACAACGTATAAAAATTAAGTGAAAAACAATCAAAATATTTTTCGGAAAAATAAAAAATTTACAAGAAACTGGTTGCAAAAATGTGCACAACCTTTTATAATTAGGGTTGTAGCTGTGTTCAGAATGAGCCAATCACATTCATTCTGATTAACCCCAAATAAAGACCAGCTGTTTCTGTAGGATTTTCTTCAGATCATCTTGGTTTCATCTGACTGCTGAATCCATGGTCTGCAAAGAGCTTACAAAGCATGCATGGTACAGTTATGTGAAAAAGTACACCCCATGGAAATTGTTGGCTTTTCTGATATATTTGGACAAGCGAACATTGTATTTGAAACAGTGCCTATTAATAAAGTTGATATACTTGAATGAAACCTCTTGGAAATGTAGTTTTTTCAATCATTTATTCAACATAAATATCAATAGATGTGATATTCTTCTCTGGAATATGTAAGTACACCATTGTACTCAGAAGCTAGTATTTTGTCTTCATTTTGTCCCATTCCTTGGTGGATTTGCTAGTTTTCTCTGGATCATTATCCTGTTGATGTAGAATTTATAGTTGAATCAATGAATGCAAGCTGTCCAGTCCCTGAGGCTTAGTATGAGGTGCTTCTCCTGAAAAGCTGTCTTTGGTCAGCGCCTAGAATGTTTGCCATTACTGTGGCCAAACAACTCTATCTTTGACTCTGGACACATTATTCCAAAAGGCCTGGTTTTTACCTAGTAGTCTTCCGAAGGCTTTTTCTCGGCATGTCTCCCATGCATGTCAAATTTGTGCAATCTCTTTCTGATTGTAGAAGCATGCACTTTGACACCAACGGTTGCAAGTCTTACTAGCAGATCCTGTGATGAAATTTTGGAGTTCCTGGAGACTTCTTTTTGCATCCGATGGACTGCTCCTGGGCTGTCTTGGACAAATTGGCAGTCTTTTGAAATCTGTGCCACTAGTAGATTGTTTTCCTTACAGAATGAAGGTTTCCCAGGAGAACATAGTGCATAGTGACCACCTTCCCATAGTGCATCCTTGTGCTATCTATTCTCCAGGTTAGTGACAAGCGCGCACACACACATCTGGCCAGCCACATGATGTGAAAGAAGACGTTATTCACCAGGCCACTTTCTTCCATTGCTCTACTGTTCCAGTTCTGATGCACATGTGCCCATTGTAGCTGCTTTCAGCAGTGGACAGGGGTCAACAGTGGCACTTTGACCAGTCTGAAGCTACGAAACAAGCTGGAGTGCACTATGTTCTGATACCTTTCCATCATAACCAGCATTAATATTTTTCAGCAATGTTTGCTACAATCACTCTTCTCTGGGATCAGACCAGATGGGCTAGCCTTCGCTTTCCACACACATCAGTGAGCCTTGGTCTCACATGGCCCTGTTCATTGGTTGTTTTTCCTTGGACCACTTTTGGTAGGTACTAACCACTGCATAGTGGGAACACCCCACAAGACCTGCTGTTTCTGAGAATCTCTGACTCATTCGTGTAGCCATCACAATTTGGCCCTTGTCAAAGTTGCTCAGATCCTAAGGCTTGCTCATTTTTACTGCTTACAACACATCAACTTTAAGAACTGACTGTACACTTGCTGCTTAATATATTCCATCCCTGGAGAAGTGCCACTATAACAAGATAATCAATGTTATTCATTTTACCTATCGGTGGTTTTAATGTTATCGCTGATTGGTGTATATTATATTTTATTATATTATATTATAATATAATGATTAGCTTAGATTATTGGGGCATGGTTAGCACGTTTGCCTCACACCTGTGTTGGGAGTTTGATTCCTGCCTTCACCTTATGTGTGTGAAGTTTGCATGTTCTCCCTGTGCTTCAGGGGTTTCCTCCAGGCATTCCAGTTTTCTTCCCCAGTCCAAAGACATATGTTGTAGGTTGATCAACTCTAAATTGTTCATAGCGTGTGAATGTGTGTGTGTGATTGTGCCCTGCGATGGGTTTTCCCTCGCCTTGTGCCCCAAGTCCCCCGGGTTTGTCTTCAGGCTCCCCACAACCC